GGGCTCCCTATGAAATTAGGTACCGCTAGGGTCATTTAACTCTAGGAAAAGAATTCACCCTAAGGGTTCCCAAGAAGGGTAGCCTGAGGTGAGAACGAATGGCTTCGAGGTATAAACTCGAAAAATTGATTCATTCATGCAAAGTGTCCAGTACATACAAAGCATTTCTCCAATCGGTATTTCAGGCTGCTGGAGCAAAGCTAGTTTTGGGCGCAAGCACATGGGCAAAAATACTGACCTCGTCATGAGGCTTTCAAAAGGAACTGAAAATGACGGGATGGCTTCGACATGATCCCACCTGGCCACTTACATGTTTGCGAGCCTTGCGTATTTCACCATGCATGGTAGAGCTAAAATCCCAGTGCGACCTGGGTGGCAGAGAAAAGGAGAAAAATAAGTAAAGGAAAATGCAGAAAAAACCGCGTTGCGCAGCGCATAGTACCTTGAGCTGTTCGGAGTGGGGGGCACCAGCTGCTTGTGGGCTCCTTACAGGCTAGGAGGTGCTGATGCTGATATTAGTTACAGGGGAAGCTGAGAACCATTCAGAATAAAACTGGACGGACGATGCAAAGGAGCCAAGCAATATGGGGGAGATGATGGCAGTGAGAATGAAAGAAACAGGTCGAAGGAGACTCTTCCTTTGGAGCGGATGTTGAACGGCTAATCGGGAAGGCCAATAGTAAAATGGCACCCAGGAACCTTTGATGTCAACAGTTGAGTGGCCCTTCAGGATCTCTATCGAAAGGGCATGAAGCAAAAAATTGAAATCACCATCTCGTTCCAGTTTGGTGGGGAGGAATTAAAAAAAAGTGAGCGGTTGAACTACTGTAGAAAAGTCCGGTGTCAAAGCAGCCAAGAGTTCAGTCCCAAGGCAAAGAGCGTACTGAAGGTGGGGTGCGGATAGTGTAGGCAGGGCATAATCCAGCAGGACTGTGGCTGCTCACCAGCATGATGATGGCCCACAGCAATCTTAAAGCAGGAGTCGCGGGCATTGCGTGCAAAATATAGTGGTGGCCGGACAAAATCTTGACGCGTATTTTTTGTAAACTTTGATCCCACGACATACAGAGCATTGTTGGAGGGGGGTCGGAGGCATTTGACACGAATCTGAACAGCATTGCGCTCGAGCTTTCCAGACTTGATGCTAGACGTTCAAGAAGATCTTGAGGGAAAGAGGTGCCTGGCGAGGAGGAAGGATGCTGGGAGCAGCAAGACTGATGGACAGGTCCGACCTTTGAAGGTGACAGGTACGCGCGGAATGCGCTGATGCGCTTGAAGGGCCATGGGCCGTGGGAGAAGGAGCTACGAGTACTGGAGGATAGTGACATGCGAGCTCTGAATGAGCGCGCGCTTACTGCCGAGGAGGCCGAACAGCGGAAATCAATTCACGACTACGAAGATATTGCAGAAGAAGGCGGTGTAGCAGCGTTCGGCGTGGTGGCACTTGGGGAGAGCCGGCGGACATTGTCGTGGATTTGGTACACAGCAAAATCAGCAGAGCCGACAGAAGCGGAGTTGGTAGAAGGTGCGAGAGCCGAACAGTGTCTCATTACGTTGTCTTTGACAGGTTTACAGCACTCCGTGTGGAATGGTGCAAAGCTTAGGTGCGAATGCGATGCTGGTGGGAAGATGTTGTCCTTGTCAAGGAGGAAATGCGCCGTACCATTGAGTACGGCTACTGGTCTGCGCATGAGTGGGTAAAACGGGCAGGAGCACGTGTCAGTGGCGTAGATGAAGAGCTGTTGGAGGGTTTGGCGGCGTATGCTCTTGAACAGGAGGACCGTGAGCAATGGACGTGCAAAATGCTGGCCTCAAAATGGGAGCGGATCCGGGAAAAGGGGCGTGCGTATCTGGCACACGAGACATCGTCGACAGATGGTGGTGATATTGTAGTGCTCCTTGATGAAGAGGAGGGAGCAGAAGCGAACGATGAAGAGGAGGAAGTGCCAGATTATGAAGACAAGGGGGATGAGGAGGTTATAGACTGATTGCCGGGGTGCCGGTGGTTTCACGATGGTCAACTGGTGCATTGATGCAGAGACCGGGATGAGTTTACGGGGATGGATGCGGCTATGAGTATTGATTATATGCTTTTGGCTGATATAAATTTAATTGCTGACCAAAATGGATGTATTTGATGGATCACTCGGTGTTGTGTCCTTTCCAATCTAAGCGGTATCAAACAAGTAGGTGCCGTGTGTGCCGAAAATAATCCAGCAAAATATACACCAAGAATGTGACCTAATACGGAAAGGCAGCACATCCATGGACACAATGCATTGTGGGTATAGTGTAGCGTACGGCCAGAGACCTCAATAATGCATTGCGGTTGGCTACGACGGCTGTCTGTAATGCATTATTGCTACTTTCCATGGTGCCCCATTTATAAATAAGCAATGCCTGACAGCTGATCACAGATGTGTGAGAGAGGTTTACAAATGGAGATACGGCTTCAGACAGACAGAGAGGCTTAATTTTATAAAGAGGGTGAGGTGATATTGGTGAATGCATCGGGAGTTCAGCCTGAATGGTGTGTGGCACACCCGTTGATACTGTACACCAGCGGATCAGGGTTTGATTCCCTGCCGGTGCATTGTTTGAAGGTTGAGTGATTTATTTTTTTGTTTAAATTTTTCCAACAAAGCAAAGTGGGGAAGGGATGGTACACCTTTCGGAAACAGCTGGCACAGAGGTTTTCAACAGCATATGGGGTGAAACTCCCTGATGTCATCTTGGTAAGGGGGCAGACATGATTCTCCAGAGCAATTGGTATAGATCATTGCTCGAGTTTTCCTCTCTCATAAAAAACATTTCCGTGTTCAATGATCTGACTATGGAGACTAGGAATTTATGGTTGGGGTGGGTTTCTCGGCTATGTTCAAGTTCAAGTTGATATTGAATTTGAATGAGCATTTCCAGGCTCATACCACAACTTTGCTGTTTACCACTTGATGAAGGTCGGGTAACAGCCAAGAGTCACTCATAGTGTATGGTAAGCCCACCAATAGAACTATTGTGTCATAGCGCTTCAACAATGATTGGGGTTCGATTCCCCGCTGGTGCATAGTGGTGTGGAAGGTTACTTTTCCTTGTCAATGGCGAGAGGTCCATGATAGATGTTCACTTTTATACATCTGTGCTCACAACAACAACAACATTGATGGTCTGTAGTTGAAAACTCGCTTATTGTGATGGTGTATGACGATGGGTGCAGCCGAGTGCCACTATATAACAACCCCTACCTAGTATAAGGCAGACTTTTATATAGTTCATTCTAGAGCTAGTTGTTCTATGATCAGTAATTATATAACATGAATATCTTTCTGCTACTCACTGCTACATCACTGCATTCCGGCAGTTCCTGGACGCACATGTGGCACGTTTGGCGAGGCTTTGCCGAGGTTGGTCTAGGCACCTCGGCAGGGTTTTCCCAGCAAAGCTGTGCCCAGCTACGGCAAGCTTCGTGCGAGGCTGCCTCGCAACACCTCGCGCCACCTCCCTCCAGATGCACTGAGACTCCTCGAAGGCCCTCCAACGTATCTACTCTGCCAACTGTGGCTGAGGCCGGACTCTGGACGGCCTAGCTGGTGGCCATATCCACGGAGATATAGAGACACGGCTCAAAGTCGGCTAATCACGGTTGCTAGATAAGGTGGCGACAGCTGTCAGTGTTTGTCTGTCAGCGCAGCCTGTGAGCATGCCCTCGACATCCATTTCTTCTAGCTGGCCCCTCTTTCCAGTATCAATAACCATTTATTCATCATCCAATTGTCTAGTAGTATTAATTATGCACACATCTTGGTATAGTCCACCATTCCCATGTCAAGTTATTCATATTTTTCCACAGGAATATGATAGAACCGATTGCCGATCTCACCACTGTATGGCTCGGCGAGAAAAGAGCTGGGCCACTATGGCTTGCAATGCTAGGCAGATCTTGGCAGGGTCTGCAGAGCCTAAGGTGTGCCCAGGTCTGCTGAGGCACCTTGGCACACCCTTAGGTCCAGAGGCTGCCGAAATGCAGTGCATGTGAACTGAGGAAGACTAGCACTTTATCACCCCCAGACCTGCTGAATAGCTGATTAACTGTACAGCTACTCTCACCTCCCTCGAAGTATTGTACCAATGGTGCCTCCCATCTACCTTAGTGCACTAGACACATTGTCCGTGCACACTTACCTCCAGCCTGGCGAGGCCTAAACAACCCGCACCACAATGGAGCCCACTGTGAGGGCTTCACCAGGGCTGGAGGAGTGGAGGTAGGGCAGAAGCACTCAGCGCTGTGGAGAGCAAGCAGCTAGCTGCTTTGCCTTGAAGGGCATGGGAGGCATATAGATCTGGAGGAATGCAGGTACATACCATCCATATGTCACTTGCATGTCACCCATCTTTTTCTTCTTCATCCAGCAACATCACCCTGTCACTACATCCTTTTGTGCCAGCATGCCAGCACCCCTTGTCCTCTCTCACCATCAGAGATCTGCCCGGTACTGCCCAGAAGATTCTCTCAAGTTTTTATATGGCCCTGCACTTTCCTCATGCCACAGCCATGTCCATGTATAGCTGCACCCAAGACCATGTCCTGCAATTCCACAGATATGCAACAATTTCGATTGCTCTTCGTACAGAATGGGGGGGTGATAGGGCATATACAAATTCACACATGAAAACACCAGTTTTTATTTCATTTTGAACCTATTAGGGGGCAGAAGTGATGCATTAGTTTATGAGCATACACTCTCCCTGGGATGGTAAACTACACTATTGATGGCTGAAAGTCAGTGTAACAAACCAATTAGACAGGTTGCACCACAGCCGCATGCAGCTTTCAAAGCCGTCAGTGATATCAGTGGATGTGATTAAATTTTGCCACGAAATTGTAAATCATGAAAATTAATTTTCTATACAAATTGCTATGAACTTCTCAGCTACCCAAACAGGGTCCCAAGATTAATCTTAGACTAATAAGATTAACTCTGATGAAACTGAATAATAAAAAGTGCCCACAACCGGATTTGAACAAGGAACATTATAATAATGGTTGCGGAAAAGCACAAGGTATTACCACTAGACCATGAGGCCCATACTTGACTCAAAACAAGGATGATTTAATCTTTGCAAAAAATTCAATCTAGAGTTCCTGAATTTTGCATTTTTGAGCCTATTTCAGCCATAAAATCTCAATGGTATTGTGACCAGTGGTTCAGTTCAGTGGGCTGCATCATGTGTCACCTGAAAACTTAGTCAAAATAGTACAGTAGTGCAATCACGCATACTATCTACAGCATGCACAACATGAAATGGACTTGAAGATATTTCCCTTTTTTCCCTTCCAGGGTGCTTGATATGTACAAGATACAATGGTGTTTTAGCATGTCCTGCTTGGTTAGTGGTTATATCCTGTCCTTTGGTGTACCCATTATCATAAGGCTTGTTTGGGTAGCTGAGAAGTTTATAGCAATTTGTATAGAAAATTAATTTTTATGATGTACAATTTTGTGGCAAAATTTAATCACAGCTGCTGCAACCGTTGAAGCTGCCTTGTGCGCTTTTGCTCTTGAACATTGCATGACTGCTATATAACATTCCCTGGATCACCAGAATGAAAAGAGAAAAAGCCGCATGTGATGCATTTGTGCACAAAAATTCACATGTGGCTTTGTGCAACCTGTCTATTATGAAAAGTTGAGTGAACTTGAGAAGGCAGCCCAAAAGGCTGTTGTGGCCTGACTATGATATTCAACACTGAGCTATGGACAGTGGTGTCAAACCACTGTCTTACATGCTGGAGGTACACCAACAGGGAACTAAGCAGAATCATTGATTTACCACTCTCTGTGGTCTCAGATTGGTCTTGTGACTATTAAAGAAGAGACAGATGAAATTGGAGTCAGACAAATGAAGTTAGAGTCAGACAGATGAAGTTGGAGTCAGGATATATATAAAGTTAGAGTCAGGATATGACTCTAGGGCTGACTCTGAGAGCTGCCTAGTATTGAGCTAGTGGACTTCTATTGAGTGGCTGGATACTTAATTGAGCTGCCAAATATCTACAGAGTCAGACCATGACTTTAAGGTCAGTTTTAAGGGTGGCATTCCATCGAGCTGCCAGATATCTAGTGGAATCTTTAGTGTCAGGCCGCTGGACTTTTATCGGGCTGTTAGATGTCTGTCTTATCAAACCGCTGGATGATATCTAGTGGCGCCTCTACAGATTAGAATGAGCTGAAGATGTACTACTGGGTACAAGCCAGTTGCACAAGATATTACTGTTACTACACTGGGCAGATCTAGCTGCTTGAAAGAAATGACCCTTGCATCAAAAATTCGCAAAATTGCAAAAACCCGTATGTTCATGATTATTTGGGATAATTTGAACTTCGCATTTCGGGTCGCACATCAGCGGGTTGGTTTGGCTGACCACTTTGATAACAGTACCACCACCACCCTCATCTGCCTCTGGAGATTTTCACCAGGGACACAAACATCATCCAGAATATATTCTGGGAGCGTAGCAGAAGCTGCAACAAACGGAACATTGGATGGTATGCGTCCACGGAGTACACCGAGATTGGTGTAGTCGGGTCGGAAACTACCTCCCCAGAGGCTAACACAGTGTGCCTCATCAATTCCGACACATCTAAGCTTGCTTGTAAATTGCGGCTTTGAGAGTGCAGATTTGCGAAATGCTGCTGATGTTGCAATCTCTGGGGAGACTACTCGTCATTCCCAAAAGTAACCGGACATTTTGATCTGAGGCTCGAAATATGTAGCTTTTTGATCCATAGAAAGAGTGTACACATTAATAGTTCGTATGTCCACCATCCGCCTTAATTACAGCGTCAACGACCTCCGGCATTCGGTCAATAAACCGGTCTATTTCATCAATGGTGATTTTATCCCACGCCTCACGAATGGCGTTGCACAACTGCTCGTACGACGAGGGTTGAGGCTGAAAGTTCCGCAGGCGGTCCTTTAGAATATGCCAAACAGGTTCGATAGGTGAAAGATCCAGGGAAGTCGGCGGATGAGGGAAGAGAGGGACTGCATGTTCCCGGAGCCAGTTCTGCGTGATCCTCGCGCGATGCGAAGGTGCGCTGTCCTGCTGGAACTTGAAGTCTGGTCGCTGCTCCTTCATTTCTTTGAAAAACTGAAGGAATGGACCTTCCAACACCTGTTCAATGTATCGTTGGCCAGTCATACCGCCACCCTTCCCGCCCGGATACTCCAGAGCCACCAACGGCCCCTTGACGCCTTTTGCAATGATTCCCCACACCATGGCGCGAATGGGGTTTTGGGGGAAGACTGGGACGCAGCATTCATCCAGAAGCTCCTCCCCAGGCCGACGGGTCACCCAGACTCGACCCTTCTTATCGCCCAAACAGACGTAAGCCTCATCTGACCAGCCGACATGTCCCCATTCAGTGCGATGCATGGACTTCCGCTCCTTTCCCCATTTCCTCCGTTTGAGCTTTGTCTCGGTCGAGCGGTATGGAACCTTCTTGGCAACGCGGCGATGGTATCCTGCCTCGCCTATGATCTGCCGCACAGTTTCTTTGCTGACGGCAGGTGTGATTTCATTGCCGATGTCGTGAAATGGTTTACGGCGATTTTCTACAGCCATTTCGATGATGCACGCCTTCTCGGGGGCACTGAATATCGGGGGACGTCCAGTTCGAGGGTTGTTTTTAGTGGAACCAGTTGCCTGGAATTTGTTCCAGAGATCCTGGCCCGTCGATGGAGCAATGCCGTGATCACGACAGGCACGCCTGACATTTCCGTGCGCCTGGACACCGCCAATGAACCGATTTTTTCGAGGTGAATCGAGTTGGCGACGGGTATTAGCCTTGGGCATCTGGTCGTGGTTGGTGGTTGAGTTTAGTTCACGTGGTATGACGCAGTGGAGTGATGCCCGGTTACTTTTGGGAATGACGAGTACAGTACACGATCGATAGCGAAGACGGGCGCTTTGATGTCGGTCCGTAAGCCGGAGATGACCCAATGTGGTATGATCGGGGTTTGAATTTTGCATCTACTGCGCAATTTCGTTCAATTCGGCACGGGTTGTGACCCGTGATCCAAAATACCCATTCGGCACTTTGGCAACCAACGAAGTTCGCCAAAAATTCGGCATACCAGACGAAAATTTTCGACAATTCTCCCTTTTTTGCACCTCCGAGGGAGATTTGGCCCTGATGTCACGCATTTTACATTCGGCACTGGGCGCCGTGACTCGTGACCCGTGACCGAGACCAAAATTCATCGCGGCACAGGGGTGCGTGACGCGTGACTGCCGAATTGAATGAAATTCCACAGTATTCGGTTACGGCTAAGTGCGTGCCACCAGCGGTGACCAGCCGTTATAGCAAACAATACTTGCGCGTCATTGTTTCCCCTGCTATAGCGGCTGGTAAGAGCCTAACCCCTTGCTTTGCAACGACCGGGGACCACGGTTGTTGAGCGCAGGTATCCATGCGCCGCTGCTCGGGCCAACACGACAAGCGGCGGTCAAGCGCCGCTGTCTTGAACCTCTTCTTTGATCCCATCACAGCTGGAAATGAATGCACTAGAGTGTATTCGATTTGGATTAAAACGATTTTGTCGGTGGAAACGCACCACGTCTCGATAAATGATGGCTCTACCGACCCGCAATTTGGAGGATCTTTTGGCTGTCGGGCAGTGATTCTCGGTTAATTTGCCCAGGATCTCGTTCAAAAAAAACCCCCGTTCTAACACAAATCGAATACACTCTACCCTGGACCCTCCGGGCGCACTGGTGCGCCCGCCCAGGCGGGAACCGAAAAGTGGCGGGAGCTGTCAAAACCTGGCGTCCCGCGTTGATCGGAGTTTACACATCCACTCGGCACCGGTCATCACTGTGTGCAAACTGTGTAGCGTGTTGGTGTCATCTACCGTGTTACGTGTTATCCCAACATCAAATGGTTTGCGGGCGGTTGACGAGCGCACACCTGTGTGTTGGGAGCTGTTGCATTAAAAGGCAAGGGTGGGGAACGAACAACCCAGTCAACTCTTTCGCTGACATCCAACATGCTCAGTCGGATATCTCTCCTTTTATCCGTACTGGTGGTTTCTTCTCTTGCCAAACCCGCTGCTCGTGCCGTTCATCCAACTACTTCCAGCGCTGCCCCTGCCGCCCCCTCAGGAACCTGCAAATGCACTGCCGGCCAATCCTGCTGGCCGAGCGCGAAAGACTGGGCCACCTTCTCGGAGACACTCTCGCACCCTATCTTTGACGTCCACCCCCCAGGCTACTACTGCCACGACCCACACTTCAACGCTGCGCTTTGCAGCTCTATCCAGACCAACAGCGGCAACTCCATCTGGCGCTCGGACCAGCCTGGGGCGGAGCAATCCGACAACTGGGAGTTTACGCCTTTCTCTCAGTGCTCCATCCTCGGGAACCGCACCGATGCGTGTGGGCAGGGCCGCGTCCCCGCCGTTGCCGTGAACGCTACCACCGTCGATGACGTGCAGAAGGCGCTGGCATTTGCATTTAAGCGCAACTTGAAGGTCCACATCAAGAATACTGGGTGCGTTTCCGTTGAGATGAACATGTAAATTGAATATTGATTGCGATTCGCAGACACGACTTTCTCGGACGGGGCCTTGGGCCCGGCTCGCTCATGATTTGGACGCATCACTTCACTTCCCTCACTTTCGCTAAGAACTTCAAGTACAAGACCGGTCAGTCTGCGGGAGTCCCTGCGGTTACGGTTGGACCGGGAAACCAGGTGAGTTGATTAACCTGTATTTTAAGTTTCCTCTGTCTCTTTCTCTGACCTCGGCATTCAGTGGGTCGACACCTACGCCTTCGCTGCAAAGAATAAAGTCGTCGTGGCGGGTGGAATCGGCGCTCTGGGCTCCGTTGGTGCAGGGGGAGGATGGCCCCTCGGAGGCGGACACAACATTATCTCGCCCCATCTAGGTCTCGGTGCGTTTTACAATGAACCATTTCGTATAGATTTTAATTTTCCTCCCTTCAGGCGCGGACAACGTCCTCGAACTAGATCTGGTTCTCCCCAACGGCACTTTCATCACCGCATCTCCCACCTCGCACCCGG